TGCCAGTGCATCAAATACCTCAACGACATCACAGTGAATAACCGCTACCCGCTGCCACTCATCTCCTCGGCGTTCGAGCCGCTCCAGGGGGACACCGTGTTCTCCAAGCAGACCTACGGAATGCCTACCACCTGGTGCGGATACGGGAAGGGGACGAGTGGAAGAATGCCTTCAACACGGCCAGCGGTCACTACGAGTTTCTGGTCATGCCATTTGGCCTTACCAACGCCCCAGCTGTGTTCCAGGCTCTGTTTAATGATGTTGTTTTGTTTCCCCTGTCCAGACGATGTCTGTGTTTTGTTCCATGTATTTTATTTATGAAATCATCTCCCTGTACTTGCTTCCCGTCTCCCAGCGTCTGTCGAACCGAGATCGTTACACTGTGGTTGAAAGAGGAGAGAGAAAGACAGAGAGAGAAGGAGAGAGAGAGAGAGAGTGAGTGAGTAGGGGGTTGAAAGAGGAGAGAGAGACAGAGAGAGAGAAGGAGAGTAGGGGGTTGAAAGAGGAGAGAGAGACAGAGAGAGAGAGAGTGGTTTTCGAAATACCGACATTATGATTTTTAATACCGTTTTTTTGGGGTTGGGGGTACCCACTCCTCGCGGGGGCTGCGGGAGGATCCTCAGATGAGGAAGGGGAGGACCATCCTTCTCAGTGAATTTCTTAAAAATAAAAATAGTGAAACATTAAAAGGTTATCCTTTTTAGATAAAACTTCACTAAATATATTCACACATCACCAAATAATTGATTAAAACACACTGTTTTGCAATGAAGGTCTACAGTAGCCTCAGCAGCACTCTATAGGGTATCACAACGGTGTAGCCAGAAGACAGCTAGCTTCTGTCCTCCTCTGGGTACATTGACTTCAATACAAAACCTAGGAGGCTCAAGGTTCTCACCCTCTTCCATTGACTTACACATCAATTATGACAACTTCCAGAGGACGTCCTCCAACCTATCAGAGCTCTTGCAGCATGAACTGACATGTTGCCCACCCAATCAAAGGATCAGAGAATGAATCTAGTACTGAAAGCATAAGCTACAGCTAGCTAGCACTGCAGTGCATAAAATGTGGTGAGTAGTTGAATCAAAGAGAAAGACAATAGTTGAACAGTTTTGAACAAATTAATTTCTTCCAAAATGAAGAAGAGAGAGAGAGTGAGAGAGAGAGTTGAGTCTCGTGGTGACAGGACACAGAGCAGTTGTCGTGACAACTTATAAGCTATATTTCGTAGTATATATATTTTTTCACTTTCACAGCAAATGGAGCTAGTTTGTGGCTGTGTTTGCGTGTGATCAGGGGTCTATTCATTCCACCGATTCTGTTGAAAAACAGAAACGGAAACAAACGGAACACAACGGGGTTAACCATACCTGAATTTGTTCAATAGAAACTCTCGTTTGCAACTGTTGTACTTAAGATTACACCCTAGATCAGCTAGATGCAGGCAAGAGTGTACAAGGCGGGATTGAATGTGTCACTGTCGGTCACCTTGATTACACTAATTTCCCTCGACCTGTGCACCTACGTTATAAACTTTAATTCGTAGTCTAGGTTGTAGCAACCTCATGATGGGTATTGGGAAAATTCTAGTATCATGTAGTAAGCCTAACCCTATCGATGTTACATTGAGCTGGGTAAATGGAATATGAATGTCAGTCATCCAATATGCTGTAATAGAAATAAGGCCATGCTCATAAAAATAAAAATAAAATGTCCTCCCTCATTTTAAACTGCACGACCGCCACTGAGTTAAGGATAACTATAAGAAATCTTAAATGTGTCAAATAAAATATTTCCAGCTCATGGCTCCAGCTTTGCATTTTGGTTTGCTAACTTGCTAGCTAAGTGGCTAGCTGTCAAGATTAAGCTTATTGTTTACAGCAGGAACATTCTAGAATGAACATTCTATCATTAAAGAGCCCGAGTAGAACAAGGAGTTGATCCTGATTCGATAATCCTCACAGCTATCCTTCAATCATAACTAATCGACTTCGCCTCGGGCCTAACAACACCCCGTGCCAATATATCCTCCAAACACCGGCTTCTCGGGCATTATCACTTCATCGGAACTCTATCACTGTCTTTCTCTCCACAGAAAGTTGGTATCCGTGTGCTAAGCAACAATTATTTGTCCAGAGACACACAGTCTGTCAAAAGGTGCTAGCTCACCTCTAAATACATAGCTACTGCAATGCCAAGCACAAAACCTATTTGCTTTGTTTTTAAGCCTAAAATATATAACAACTTGCCTAGCTAACAGCTAAATGTTTGTTTTTGACATTGTTATAATGTTCTCATGGAATATATTAATATTATTTCCAACAACCAATGAGCAACTCTGCCATAAATCCAGCTGCGTATTGAACATTGAGATTGCCAAAAGGCAATGACATTTGTATTTGTATTTATTATGGATCCCCATTAGTTCCTGCCAAGGTAGCAGCTACTCTTCCCGGGGTCTAAACATATTAAAGCACTTACATTACATATAAAACAAAAGATAAAACAGTACATCATATAACATTATTACACCACTACATATCTACAATACAAAATGTTTAATACCACCATACAACAATATCACAATGTGTGCATATGCAAGTGTCTATACCTTTGTGTGTGTCTCTTCACAGTCCCCGTTGTTCTATAAGGTGTATTTTTACCCATTTTTAAAAAGTTCCATTTAGTCATGGCTCTATGTAGTACTGTGCGCCTCCCATAGTCTGTTCTGGACTTGGGGACTGTGAAGAGACCTCTGGTGGCATGTCTTGTGGGGTATGCATGGGTGTCCGAGCTGTGTGCTAGTATTTTAAACAGACAGCTCAGTACATTCAGCTTGTCAACACCTCTTACAAAAACAAGTAGTGATGAAGTCAATCGCTCTTCCACTTTGAGCCATGAGAGTTTGACATGCATGTCATTAATGAGAGAACTTGGGAAGGTTGAACACCAGACGGGCTGCATCATTCTGTATAAGTTGTAGGGGTTTAATGGCACAGGCAGGGAGCCCAGCCAACAGCGAGTTGCAGTAATCCAGACGGGAGATGACAAGTGCCTGGATTAGGACCTGTGCCGCTTTCTGTGTAAGGTAGGGTCGTACTCTGCGAATGTTGTAGAGCATGAACCTGCAGGATCGGGTCACCACTTTGATGTTAGCGGAGAACGACAGGGTGTTGTCCAGGGTCACGCCAAGGTTCTTTGCACTCTGGGAGGAGGACACAATGGAGTTGTCAACCGTGATGGCGAGATCATGGAGCGGGCAGTCCTTCCCCGGGAGGAAGAATAGCTCCGTCTTGCCGAGGTTCAGCTTGAGGTGGTGATCCGACATCCACACTGATATGTCTGCCAGACATGCAGAGATTCGATTCGCCACCTGGTTATCAGAAGGGGGAAAGGAGAATATATATGTATATGTATATATATAAAACATATGGGGATTGGAAGTGATGCAGACAATTACATTGATGGAAGTTACAATCTATCTGCAATATTAAAGCTGATCTACCCCCTAAAAAAAACACAGTGTAAAATAAGGGCATAATTTAATACAGTATAATGACTAAAATGTAAGAAATGTAAATGTAAAATGAGGTGGAAACTGAGCTGCATTTCCTAACCTCCTGCCAAACGTATGACCATATTAGAGACACATATTTCCCTCAGATTACTCAGACCCACAAAGAATTCAAAAACAAATCCAGTGAAGAACCAGTGAAGAACAAACACCATTGTAAATACAACCCATATTTATGTTTATTTATTTTCCCATTTGTACTTTAACTATTTGCCCGTTGTTACAACACTGTATATACATAATATGACATTTGAAATGTCTTTATTCTTTTGGAACGTTTGTGAGTAATATTTACTCTTTCTTTTTATTGTCTATTTCACTTTTGTTTATTGTCTATTTCACTTGCTTTGGCAATGTAAACATATGTTTCACATGCCAATAAAGACCCTTAAATTGAATTGAATTGAGAGAGAGACACACAGAGAGAGAGACAGATATTTTTTTCCAGTCAGAGCACAATACTCATGATTCAACACTGCCTGGTGATGTTACTGCATTCACGACTCAATACTGCCACTGTAGCTGAGATGTGTTACTGCATTCACGGCTCAATACTGCCACTGTAGCTGAGATGTGTTACTGCATTCACGGCTCAATACTGCCACTGTGGCTGAGATGTGTTACTGCATCCAGGCTGACTGACATTCCATGGCGGAGCATAAGAGACAAACAGCTTGCGCAATGTTGCTGCTGACGTCACACACACCCCCGTCGCTCACGCAGCGACCGGATCGAGGAACACACACACACACACACACACACACACACACACTGGCAAGCTACAGTACATGCTCACACACTGATATGGATACACACAGAGAGACAGACAGAAGAGAATACTGAAAAATGGCTGTTCTTTGGTGTTTCTGCTGTAGGACAGAGTGACGCAGTATTCTCCAGGTGTGTGTGTTTTTGTGTGTGTGTGTGTGTGTGTGCGTGCGTGCGTGCATATCACAGTATACTGTGTCTCCAGTTGCAGGGCAGTCTGGGCTGTTTGTGAGAAGGACTTGTCTGTCTGTTGACACTAGCAGCTTTCTGGATCATGACTGGGCAATTTGTGTTTGTCTGTGGATCAACTTCATCTTTATTTTCCCTACATGGTTATTCATTTTTACGTGTAATATTTACTTACATGTTAGCTTTGTAATATAGACTGTGTAATGGCTGATACAGTTACCATGTCATCAGTTATTATCAGACTGTGTCATGGCTGATACAGTTACTGTGTTACAGTTATTATCAGACTGTGTCATGGCTGATACAGTTACTGTGTTACAGTTATTATCAGGGAATAACACATGCTTTGTAAATGATGATGACAGAGCTAAAATGGAGAATTGTACCAACAGAAAATGCTAACCTTTACTGACCTTGTCTCCCTCTCCTCTCTCTCTTTCTCCCTCCATCTCTATTTCCTCCAGGTGGTCTCTCCAGCTCTTTGTCCAACTCTGCTCTGGTCCGCTACACTAAAGACCAGCGTCCTACCACCCTCCCAATCCAACCCTTCACCTTCCACCACAAGTTCTCCAAGCTGTCCCAGCCCAAGCCCCTTCTTCCCCTGCTGACGGGCTACGTTGCTGGGATGCAGGCCCGGGGTGGAGGGCCTTCTGGAGGTCCGGAGGGGGCCGATGCGGTCGATAACGAACGATGGGAAGACTCTATGCATCGATGCCATAGTGGTGGTACGATGGGTGGGATGGTGTCAGCGGTGGCTCCACTTGGTCCTGGCTCTGTCCGGCCCTCGCCGCTGGGTAGCTATTCCCCCGTCCTCCTCCAGGGGGCGACCTCCAGCTCAGGGACCTGTTCTACCTGCACCCCCAGCCCCCAGACGCCTCGCAGCCTCTCCTGCCCCCAATCGGCCGGGCTCCTGCCCCTCCACCATACCCATCCACCACCAGCACGACTGGCGGCTGCCCCTCTGCCCCCCACTCCTCCACCCCCGCCCATGGAGGTGAAGCGGGATGAGGTGCCCCCCATGCTGCCTCCGGTCCAGGGCCAGTGTCGTCACCACCACCACCGTGGGACCCTGCCCGTCCTGCCGGCCGTGCCCCAGGACAGTGAGACTTCGCTGGGAGACGAGGAGACGTCAGACTCTGTGGAGGGGAGCAGAGGACCAGGGCCCAGGACACAACATGGTAGGTGTCTCTGTCTCAGTGTGGTCCAGTCAGTAGTTGTCATGTATGTGGTTGTGTCAGTGGGGTTGTTGGATTGTGGGTTGGCCAGTCCCCCTCGTGTCTTCTACGGGTTTGTTTCCTTCCTCTTTCACTCTTTCTTCTTCTTCTGTTCTTTCTGTTGAACCTTATTTGTTCGCCGCCAACTCACCTCTCATGGTGATTTAACAGATCTACTGTAGTCATGGTGATTTAACAGATCTACTGTAGTCATGGTGATTTAACAGATCTACTGTAGTCATGGTGAATTAACAGATCTACTGTTGTCATGGTGATTTAACAGATCTACTGTAGTCATGGTGATTTAACAGATCTACTGTTATATACTGTAGTCATGGTGATTTAACAGATCTACTGTAGTCATGGTGATTTAACAGATCTACTGTAGTCATGGTGATTTAACAGATCTACTGTAGTCATGGTGATTTAACAGATATACTGTAGTCATGGTGATTTAACAGATCTACTGTAGTCATGGTGATTTAACAGATCTACTGTAGTCATGGTAATTTAACAGATCTACTGTAGTCATGGTGATTTAACAGAACTACTGTAGTCATGGTGATTTAACAGATCTACTGTTATATACTGTAGTCATGGTGATTTAACAGATCTACTGTTATATACTGTAGTCATGGTTATTTAACAGATCTACTGTTATATACTGTAGTCATGGTGATTTAACAGATCTACTGTAGTCATGGTGATTTAACAGATATACTGTAGTCATGGTGATTTAACAGATCTACTGTAGTCATGGTGATTTAACAGATCTACTGTTATATACTGTAGTCATGGTGATTTAACAGATCTACTGTTATATACTGTAGTCATGGTGATTTAACAGATCTACTGTTATATACTGTAGTCATGGTGATTTAACAGATCTGCTGTTATATACTGTAGTCATGGTGATTTAACAGATCTGCTGTTATATACTGTAGTCATGGTGATTTAACAGATCTACTGTTATACAGTGGGGAAAAAAGTATTTAGTCAGCCACCAATTGTGCAAGTTCTCCCACTTAAAAAGATGAGAGAGGCCTGTAATTTTCATCATAGGTACACGTCAACTATGACAGACAAAATGTGAGAAAAAAAATCCAGAAAATCACATTGTAGGATTTTTTAATGAATTTATTTGCAAATTATGGTGGAAAATAAGTATTTGGTCAATAACAAACATTTCTCAATACTTTGTTTATTACCCTTTGTTGGCAATGACACAGGTCAAACGTTTTCTGTAAGTCTTCACAAGGTTTTCACACACTGTTGCTGGTATTTTGGCCCATTCCTCCATGCAGATCTCCTCTAGAGCAGTGATGTTTTGGGGCTGTCGCTGGGCAACATGGACTTTCAACTCCCTCCAAAGATTTTCTATGGGGTTGAGATCTGGAGACTGGCTAGGCCACTCCAGGACCTTGAAATGCTTCTTACGAAGCCACTCCTTCGTTGCCCGGGCGGTGTGTTTGGGATCATTGTCATGCTGAAAGACCCAGCCACGTTTCATCTTCAATGCCCTTGCTGATGGAAGGAGGTTTTCACTCAAAATCTCACGATACATGGCCCTCTTCATTCTTTCCTTTACACGGATCAGTCGTCCTGGTCCCTTTGCAGAAAAACAGCCCCAAAGCATGATGTTTCCACCCCCATGCTTCACAGTAGGTATGGTGTTCTTTGGATGCAACTCAGCATTCTTTGTCCTCCAAACATGACGAGTTGAGTTTTTACCAAAAATATCTATTTTGGTTTCATCTGACCATATGACATTCTCCCAATTCTCTTCTGGATCATCCAAATGCACTCTAGCAAACTTCAGACGGGCCTGGACAAGTACTGGCTTAAGCAGGGGGACACGTCTGGCACTGCAGGATTTGAGTCCCTGGCGGCGTAGTGTGTTACTGATGGTAGGCTTTGTTACTTTGGTCCCAGCTCTCTGCAGGTCATTCACTAGGTCCCCCCGTGTGGTTCTGGGATTTTTGCTCACCGTTCTTGTGATCATTTTGACCCCACGGGGTGAGATCTTGCGTGGAGCCCCAGATCGAGGGAGATTATCAGTGGTCTTGTATGTCTTCCATTTCCTAATAATTGCTCCCACCGTTGATTTCTTCAAACCAAGCTGCTTACCAATTGCAGATTCAGTCTTCCCAGCCTGGTGCAGGTCTACAATTTTGTTTCTGGTGTCCTTTGACAGCTCTTTGGTCTTGGCCATAGTGGAGTTTGGAGTGTGACTGTTTGAGGTTGTGGACAGGTGTCTTTTATACTGATAACAAGTTCAAACAGGTGCCATTAATACAGGTAACGAGTGGAGGACAGAGGAACCTCTTAAAGAAGAAGTTACAGGTCTATGAGAGCCAGAAATCTTGCTTGTTTGTAGGTGACCAAATACTTATTTTCCACCATAATTTGCAAATAAATTCATAACAAATCCTACAATGTGATTTTCTGGATTTTTTTTCTCAATTTGTCTGTCATAGTTGACGTGTACCTATGATGAAAATTACAGGCCTCTCTCATCATTTTAAGTGGGAGAACTTGCACAATTGGTGGCTGACTAAATACTTTTTTCCCCCACTGTATACTGTAGTCATGGTGATTTAACAGATCTACTGTTATATACTGTAGTCATGGTGATTTAACAGCTCTACTGTTATATACTGTAGTCATGGTGATTTAACTGATCTACTGTTATATACTGTTGTCATGGTGATTTAACAGATCTACTGTTATATACTGTAGTCGTGGTGATTTAACAGATCTACTGTTATATACTGTAGTCATGGTGATTTAACAGACCTACTGTTATATACTGTAGTCATGGTGATTTAACAGATCTACTGTTATATACTGTAGTCATGGTGATTTAACAGATACACTGTTATATACTGTTGTCATGGTGATTTAACAGATACACTGTTATATACTGTAGTCATGGTGATTTAACAGATCTACTGTTATATACAATAGTCATGGTGATTTAACAGATCTACTGTTATATACTGTTGTCATGGTGATTTAACAGATACACTGTTATATACTGTAGTCATGGTGATTTAACATATACAGTTGAAGTCTGAAGTTTACGTACACTTAGGTTGGTGTCATTTAAACTTGTTTTTCAACCACTCCACAAATTTCTTCTTAACAAACTATAGTTTTGGCAAGTCAGTTAGGACATCTACTTTGTGCATGACACAAGTAATTTTTCTATCAATTGTTTACAGACAGATTATTTCACTTATAATTCACTGTATCACAATTCCAGTGGGTCAGAAGTTTACATACACTAAGTTGACTGTGCCTTTAAACAGCTTGGAAAATTCCAGAAAATGATGTCATGGCTTTAGAAGTTTCTGATAGGCTAATTGACATCATTTGAGTCAATTGGAGGTGTACCTGTGGATGTATTTCAAGGCCTACCTTCAAACGCAGTGCCTCTTTGCTTGACATCATGGAAAAAATAAAATAAATCAGGCAAGACCTCAGAAAACAAACTGTAGACCTCCACAAGTCTTGTTCATCCTTGGGAGCAATTTCCAAACGCCTGAAGGTACCACGTTCATCTGTACAAACAATAGTACGCAAGTATAAACACCATGGGACCACGGAGCCGTCATACCGCTCAGGAAGGAGACACGTTCTGTCTCCTAGAGATGAATGTACTTTGGTGCGAAAAGTGCAAATCAATCCCAGAACAACAGCAAAGGACCTTGTGAAGATGCCGGAGGAAACAGGTACAAAAGTATCTATATCCACAGTAAAACAAGTCCTATATCGACATAACCTGAAAGGCCGCTCAGCAAGGAAGAAGCCACTGCTACAAAACCGCCATAAAAAAGCCAGACTATGGTTTGCAACTGCACATGGGGACAAAGATCGTACTTTTTGGAGAAATGTCCTCTGGTCTGATGAAACAAAAATATAACTTTTTGGCCATAATGACCATCGTTATGTTTGGAGGGAAAAGGGGAAGGCTTGCAATCCAAAGAACACCATCCCAACCGTGAAGCACGGGGGTGGCAGCATCATGCTGAGGGGGTGCTTTGCTGCAGGAGGGACTGGTGCACTTCACAAAATAGATGGCATCATGAGGAAGGAAAATTATGTGGATATATTGAAGCAACATCTCAAGACATCAGTCAGGAAGTTAAAGCTTAGTCGCAAATTGGTCTTCCTAATGGACAATGACCCCAAGCATACTTCCAAAGTTGTGACAAAATGGCTTAAGGACAACAAAGTCACGGTATTGGAGTGGCCATCACAAAGCCCTGGCCTCAATCCTATAGAAAATTTGTGGCCAGAACTGAAAAAGCATGTGCGAGCAAGGAGGCCTACAAACCTGACTCAGTTACACCAGCTCTGTCAGGAGGAATGGGCCAAAATTCACCCAACTTTTTGTGGGAAGCTTGTGGAAGGCTACCAAAAACATTTGACCCAAGTTAAACAATTTAAAGGCAATGCTACCAAATACTAATTGAGTGTATGTAAACTTCTGACCCTCTGGGAATGTGATGAAAGAAATAAAAGCTGAAATAAATCATTCTCTCTACTATTATTCTGACATTTCACATTCTTAAAATAAAGTGGTGATCCTAACTGACCTAAGACAGGGGATTTTTACTTGGATTAAATGTCAGGAATTGTGAAAAACTGAGTTTAAATGTATTTGGCTAAGGTGTATGTAAACTTCCGACTTCAACTGTATACTGTTATATACTGTAGTCATGGTGATTTAACAGATATACTGTTATATACTGTAAACATGGTGATTTAACATTTTCAACGTTCCTCTTCCTCTGCCTTCTACCATGTACACTTCGTCGACCTCTCTCTTCTCATTTCATCTTGCTTTCCCCAATCCTCCAAACCTACCCTCCTTCTCTTCGTCACCCCTCCGCCCGTCCTCCCCCACAGGACACCACCTCTCTCCCCAGACTCTGAAATGGAGGGAGTATCGTCGTAGGAACCCGCTGGGGGTGGAGAGGTGTTCCTCTGGGGGGTCAGGCGTACCCCTCCTATCAGGCAGTCTGGACGGGAATGGTCGTAGGGGCGTGGCCAGGGGACAGCGAATCACACGACGGAACGTGTTTGACTTCCCTCCGGCCTCTAGTGGCCACGCCCTGGGACGACTAAGTGGTGCTCATATACTACTAACCCTGTTGATCAGATGCTGTGTGTGTGTGTGTGGTAGGGTGTGTGTGTGTGTGGTGTGTGTGTGTGTGTGTGTGTGTTGTGTGCAGAGTGTGTGTGTGTGTGTGCAGGGTGTGTGTGTGTGCAGGGAGTGTGTGTGTGTGTGCAGGGTGTGTGTGTGTGTGCAGAGTGTGTGTGCAGGGGTGGAGGCTGTGTGTGTGTGTGTGTGGTGTTGTGTGGCAGAGTGGTGTGTGTGTGGTGTGTGTGCAGGGTGTGTGTGTGTGTGTGTGTGCAGAGTGGTGTGTGTGTGTGTGTGTGTGTGTGCAGGGTGTGTGTGTGTGTGTGCAGGGTGTGTGTGTGTGGCAGGGTGTGTGTGCAGAGTGTGTGTGTGTGTGCAGGGTGTGTGTGTGTGTGCAGGGTGTGTGTGTGTGTGGCAGAGTGTGTGTGCAGGGGTGGAGGCTGTGTGTGTGGTGTGTGTGTGTGTGTGCAGAGTGGTGTGTGTGGTGTGTGTGCAGGGTGTGGTGTGTGTGTGGTTGTGCAGAGTGTGTGTGTGTGTGGTGCAGGGTGTGTGGTGTGTGGCAGGGTGGTGTGTGTGTGTGTGTGTGTGTGCAGAGTGTGTGTGTGTGTGCAGGGTGTGTGTGTGTGTGGCAGAGTGTGGTGTGCAGGGGTGGAGGCTGTGTGTGTGTGTGTGTGTGTGTGTGTGTGTGCAGTGTGTGTGTGCAGGGGTGGAGGCTGTTGTGTGTGTGTGTGTGTGCAGTGTGTGTGTGTGTGTGTGTGTGGCAGAGTGTGTGTGTGTGTGCAGGGGTGGAGGCTGTGTGTGTGTGTGTGTGTGTGTGTGTGTGTGTGTGTGTGTGTGTGTGAGTGTATGGTAGGGTGTGTGTGTGTGCCATGGTAACGGTGTGTGTGTGTGTGTGTGGTGTGGTGTATGGTAGGGTGTGTTTGTGTGTGTGTGTGTGTGTGTGTGTGTGTGTGTGTGTGTGATTTTCTAATCCTACGTGTGTGTGTGTGTGTGTGTGTGTGTGTGTGTGTGTGATTTTCTAATCCTGTGTGTGTGTGTGTGTGTGTGTGTGTGTGTGTGTGTGTGTGTGTTCTCAGGCCAGTCCTTGAAGCAGCTGCAGCAGTACTACAGTGACTTCCTGCCAGACTACTTCTCCCTGACGGAGCGTCCTCCAGACGAGTTCTGTCTCTCTCCTGACGCCTCCTCTTCCTCATCGTCCTCCTCTTCCTCACAATCCCACGTCTCTGTGGACCTGCAGCAGAAGAGAGGTGTGATGGAGTGGTGTAGTACCTACAGTGTATTCGTAAAGTATTCAGACCCCTTGACTTACGTTACAGCCTTATTCTAAAAATTTTTTTTTTTTTTTTTACATCTCAGCAATCTACACACAATACCCCATAATGACAAAGCGAAAACAGGTTTTTAGATTTTTTTGTAAATGTATTAAAAATAAAAAACAGAAATACCTTATTTACATAAGTATTCAGACCCTTTGCTATGAGACTCGAAATTGAGCTCAGGTGCATCCTGTTTCCATTCATCATCCTTGAGATGTTTCTAAAACTTGGAGTCCACCTGTGGTAAATTCAATTGATTGGAAAGGCACACACCTGTCTATGTAAGGTCCCACAGTTGACAGTGCATGTCAGAGCAAAAACCAAGCCATGAGGTCAAAGGAATTGTCTGTAGAGCTCCGAGACAGGATTGTGTCGAGGCACAGATCTAGGGAAGGGTACCAAAAAATGTCTGCAGCATTGAAAGTCCCCAAGAACACAGTGGCCTCCATCATTCTTAAATGGAAGAAGTTTTGAACCAACAAGACTCTTCCTAGAGCTGGCCGCCCGTACAAACTGAGCAATCGGGGGAGAAGGGCCTTGGTTAGGGAGGTGACCAAGAACCCTGATTGTCACTCTGACAGAGCTCTAGAGTTCCTCTCAGTAAAAGGCACATGATAGCCCGCTTGGAGTTTGCCAAAAGGCACCTAAAGACTCTCAGACCATGAGAAACAAGATTCTCTGGTCTGATGAAACCAAGATTGAACTCTTTGGCCTGAATGCCAAGCGTCACGTCTGGAAGAAACCTGGCACCATCCCTACGGTGAAGCATGGTGGTGGAAGCATCATGCTGTGGGGATGTTTTTCAGCGGCAGGGACTGGGAGACTAGTCAGGATCGAGGCAAAGATGAACGGAGCAAAGTACAGTGAGATCCTTGATGAAAACCTGCTTCAGAGCGCTCAAGACCTCAGCCTGGGGCGAAGGTTCACCTTCCAACAGGACAACGATCCTAAGCACACAGCCAAGACAATGCAGGACTGGCTTCGGGACAAGTCTCTGAATGTCCTTGAGTGGCCCAGCCAGAGCCCGGACTTGAACCCGATCTAACATCTCTGGAGAGACCTGAAAATAGCTGTACAGCAACGCTCCCCATCCAACCTGACAGAGCTTGAGAGGATTTGTCAATAATGAAAACATGTCTATCTACTTTCAAGCCTTGCAAATCAACATTTTCTGCTTTAGGTTGGCCATTGGACATAATAACAACTAATTCTCATTATGGAAAGGAGAAAAGAGTGTGATTACCAATTACATAAAAGAGTGTGACTGCAGCCTGTATTACACTATACTTACTGAGAGGCTGTACCACATGTGAAGGGCCTCTTGTAATCGACTACCTCGTCTCTCGCGCTCTCTCTCTCTCTTTCTCTCTTTCTCTCTCTCTTTCTCTCTCTCTCAGGTTTAGTCAAAGCCATCAATACAGCGGTAGATTTAATCGTGGCTCATTTTGGCACCAGTCGGGACCCTGATGTGAAGGTATGGTGTTCTACTGGGTGATTTTCCCCTAAAGATAATTATATAATACTATTCTATTTCATTCTGTGAATGTAGTTTGCTTTTTTGTTTCTATAGGAGATTGTTTTGATTTTGGAACATCAGAATTAGTCTATTTTTCCTCCTTTTCATAATTTCTCTTTCTCTATTTCTCTCCCCTTTTCTCTCTATCGATCGCTTCCTCTCTTGTTTTATTTCCTCCCCTTCCACCACCTCCTCTCTGTCCTTCCTTCTGCATCCTGTTCACACTCTCTCCTTGTACCCCTCCCCCTCTCCTTCTCCCCGTCCCCCCCCCCCCCCCCCCCCCCCCCCCCCCCGTCCGTCCGTCCGTCCCCCCCCCCGTCCTCTAGGCGAAGTTGGGTAACAGTTGGGTGAGTCCCAACGTGGGCCACCTGATCCTGAAGTACCTGTGTCCGGCTCTAAGGGAGGTGCTGGGGGATGGGCTGAAGGCCTACGTCCTGGACCTGATCATCGGACAGAGACGCAACCAGCCCTGGAGCCTGGTAGAGGCCTCCACACAACTAGGTATGTCTGGAGAGAGAAGGAGGATGAGGCAGGAGGAGGGAGGAGGAGGAGGGTGGAGATGGAGAAGGTGGAGCAGGTGGAGTGGTGAGGAGGATGGTATTGATGATGATGATGATTATAATGATTCAGTAACGTTTATTTGTGAATGAAAGAGTCTTTAAAGGAAAGTGGCTTCACATGCAGTAGGGTCTCCGAGGTGTTGTAATTCTGACCTCCATCTCTCCATCCCTACATCAGGCCCGTCCACCTTCCGAGGTGTTGTAATTCTGACCTCCCTCTCTCCATCCCTACATCAGGCCCGTCCACCTTCCGAGGTGTTGTAATTCTGACCTCCCTCTCTCCATCCCTACATCAGGCCCGTCCACCTTCCGAGGTGTTGTAATTCTGACCTCCCTCTCTCCATCCCTACATCAGGCCCGTCCACCTTCCGAGGTGTTGTAATTCTGACCTCCCTCTCTCCATCCCTACATCAGGGCCATCCACCTGTGTTGTCCACAGCCTGTTCTCCAAGGTGTCCCAGTACTCAGAGCTCACCAACCACAGCATGAGACTCAACTCATTCATCTTGGGACTGCTCAAGTGAGTACCCCTCGATACGCTCAATACTAATGATCTGTTTCTTGTTGCCAGCATGTTACGAGTGAAAGAGTCAAGTTAACTGACTGTCTCTTTTGTTTCTCTCTGTTTCAGCTTGCGATCTTTGGAATTTTGGTTCAATCACCTCTACACTCATGAAGGTAGGAATCAAGCACACCTAGCTAAAGTCTTTGAAAGAAATCTGATTACTTTCTTGACCCAGGTTTGGTATTGTATGCTTCCGATAGTCTATAACCGTTTCTTCTATTTCTTCCGTTTCTCTTCTGATGAGAGGACGAGGCGAGGAGGCTAGGAGAGAGGATGGAGGTTTCTTCTTTTCGGAGAGGAGGAGGAGCATCTCTGTCTTCTTCGGGATTCTGATGAGTTTGTCTTTTCTTCTCTTCTTCGTTTTCTTTTCTTCTTCTTCTTCTTCTTCTTCTTCTTCTCTTATCTTCTTTCTTCTTCTTCTTCTTCTTCTTCTTCTCTTCTTCTTTCTCTTCTTCTTCTTCTTCTTCTTTCTTCTTCTTCTCACTGCCTGTCCCCCCCAGACATCGTAGTGGCTCACTACCATCCGTGGGGTTTCCTGCCGTTGTCCCAGGGGCTGTGCAAGCCTCTCTTCGAAGAGCTCCTCCTCCTCCTACAGCCTCTGTCTCTGTTGCCCTTTGATCTGGATCTGCTCTTTGAGCCGCGATTGGTCCAGAGGAGCCAGGAACACCTGAGAAGCAAGGAGCAGCTCTGCTCCATCTTCGCCGGCCAGGGCCTGGACCGATCAGCACGCTCCACCTTCCAACTCATGAGGGGGTGGAGCACAGAGTCACAGAGGGCGGAGTCTATGAGAGAAGGGGCGGAGGCTAAAAAGGAAGGAGGCGGGTCGGGGAAGAGAGAAAGGTTCGGGCTGAGACGAGAGGGGACGTGGCCTAGGATGGAAGGGGTTGGAGAGAGAGGGAGGAGAGAGGGGATGATGCAGAGGACGGGGTCGAGGAGAGAGGGGGTGGGGATGGATAGTTTAAGGGCGGGGCTTGTAGAAGCACAGCCAATGACAACTGAAGTAGGGACAGGGTTTGCAAACCTGTGGAGGGAGAGTGGGAGGGGGAAGGCCACAGGAAACAGAGCGAAGGGGGTGGGAGGAGAGGAGGAGGAGAGGAGGAAGGAGAGAGAGAGGGATTGGGCGGAGGAGGGTCGTCAGCGGCAGGAGCGTGATCGCCAGGCGGGCTGGTGGTACCAGCTCATGCAGAGCTCCCAGGTCTACATCGACCAATCAGCTCAGGGTGGGTCAAAGTTCGTCAAGAGCGAGAAGAGGAAGAAGTCTGCGGAGAGGCGGAGCCAGAGTCAGCAACTGCTCCCCAGGAAGGGCGTGGTGGAAGGGGCAGAGTCTAGCCAGGAAGGGGAGGGTCTTAGGGAGAGAAGCAGGAAGAGCAGCTCCAGCTCCAGTGGTGAGTGGACAGGGTCCAGGGGAAGAGGAAGGCCCTCCTGGATGGGGAGTCCCCCAGAGTCAGTGCTAACCCAGGACAAGGAGAGGGAGAAGGATCCAGCAACCACAAGGGCCCCAGGAGCCGCAGCGACCCAGCCAGTGGCCCAGGCTGAAGACCCCTCCCAGGGCCAGGGCATGCGCTGGGGCAGGCTGTTTGGGTCCAACATGGGTGGTGGTGGTACCCCCTCCAGGCCAGGCGGAGCAGAGCATAGACCAGCCAAAAGCAAGAGGAGCAGGTGACTGAATTGAAGTGATGTAAACTGGTCCAGGTGATACAGTAATAAATGAGTTAACTCTTTATAGTACATTTCTCTTTGCTCTGTTTGTCCCTCACAGGCTGCCGTCTGGCTGGCTGACAGGTCTGGACATGTCCGTGCTGGACCTCGTAGCCCAGACGGTGGGGACGGGGACAGTGAAGAGGGTGGAGCCTTCAGCTCCTCCGGCCCCTCCCACTCTGAACCAACCCTCTCCACCTCCTCAGCTGCCACAGGAGAGCCAAACCAAACAGCCGTGGTAAGATCATACTTTTGAAGAAAAGACAAACCAAAGCTATACGAAATACGATATATACGATTATTGTTTTGATCTTTTACCAGGCTTAAAGGCTAAAAACACAGCAATACAATAAAATTACACTAAAAACACAGCAATACAATGAAATTACACTAAAACAGAAACATGGACAACTAAAAAAATACAGGATACAAGCAATAATATGTTTCTGTCCTTCCTTCCTTCACTCTTTCCTTCTGTCACTCCTTCCCCCCCCCCCCCCCCCCCCCCCCCCCCCCCCCCAGTGAGGTGCGTGCCCTGTGCCACCACATAGCCACGGAGCCTGACCAGCTGAGTTTCCATAAAGGGGACGTACTGAGAGTCCTGAGCCGGGCCGACTCCGACTGGCTCCTCTGCTCCCTGGGGGCCCAGCAGGGCCTGGTGCCTTTCATCTATGTTACCCTGAGGGGCCTGGAGGACAGCCAGGCGCCCCAAGGGCCTCAGGGGCCACACTGACCTGACCGACTCAACTAGGGTTCCAAAATTCTGGTTTTCCAGAAATCCCAGTTGGGAGATTCCTGGAATCAGGAGGGAATAAGCAGGAAATCTGTATATCCTCCAACCAGGATTGCTGATAAACCTGGGGATTTCGGGAAAGTTGCCGGAACTTTGCAACCCTAGACTGAACCTAGGGCCCAGAGGCCACAGTAGAGGACGAGGGTGGAAGGTAGAAGGGAGAGCTGGAAAGGGGAAAAGGATTCAGAGGGCTAAATATTGGATATACAGCATTCTATACTACCATGGATACTCATGGAGGAGAGACGTTGATATGACTGGTTTAAAGTGGAATTATTGTACTATGGAGAGGAGTATGAAACACACACAGACGCAAAACATGCATGAATGTACAGACACACACAGGCAAGGAAGCATGCACAAACACACAGACTTCCCTATGCATGCATGTACACTAAACTCATTCGAAGACAAAGACTACACATGCACGTGCGTACACACACACACACACCAAACTATCTGAGGACCTTTTACAGAAACGAGACAAGGCTAGCTACACACTGCCTTGGCCCCCATCATATACTGTCTGCTATCCCTAGCTGTGCTTTACTTTACCATGCTACAGAGAATACTCTATCTATCATTCACCTAGCTGTGCCACTCTTTGAATGCCAATGCTACGCTAACGCTAAATGCTAGTGCTAATGCTAGTGCTAATTGCTAATGGAAGATTTCAGAGACCGGTTAAAGGACTTGTCATCCAATGGATCCACGCTGACATGCTATTATCTAAGGTTAATTCACCTAGAAAATCCCCTGCCTTGTAGTAGGACGTAAGTATGAAAAGTCGTTTTTTTATAAAACAGAAAAGGAAAAACACCAAAATGTACAACACATTTTAGTGTGATATATCTCTGGGTATGAGTTCTGACAGCTGTCGACAATCTGGACATCTCTCTGTGTGGAGTAAATACAAATGGATGACCGTTTTAAACTTGCTTCTTCGATTCATCATCATCTGCAGATTCCTGATTTTTATCATCTCGTTAACACAGTGGGCGCGTTCCACTGCCCAGGAGTTGCTGACGCATGCCAGATCTTACAATGCTTGGATAGGTATTTTACCTATCAGCTAACCACATCATATGTATGTTATAGCAATCTGTCAGTCGATTAAATAGTAGAGTACGTTGCACGCAACCATTGGTCTGAGCAGGGGAACACTACCAATGATTTTGGATGGACTGTCAAACCTGACTCTGATTGGACAAGCCCAAGAACATCCTCTGGCTCCTCCCTTCACTTCCTGTTGTTTTGATTGATGGGATGAACTGACCTAACACTGTAAGTGTCAGGAAAGAAAAGGGCAGAGCCGGGCCTAGTGCATGTAACCTAGCAACAGACGGACAACGTTTTGTGTCTTTTTACAGTTTCTTCACCCCTGTTCTGACCCCAAAACCCTAGCTCCTCCCACCTGCCTCCGCCTCTCTTCCCCTTAACCAATACAACTACACAGCTTTAGGAGAAGCTTACGGTACCAACGGGTACAGACAAAACCAAGTGGTTCAAGAGGCTATGATAAGTTTTCAACTATATGTGTCTATATATCTATCCATGCATACTGTAAATGCATATACTTACACACATTTATTGATTGGTTAATGATGATATAATGTATTATTGTTGAGGAAAAGCGTGTGAAAGGCAGCAGAGGTGGATAAAGAAAGAAGGATATCCAATGAAAGCAACACATGGCTTTGGAGGTCTGTTTAGCTGCTTTGGTGTTCTATACTGAATCTGTTGGTTGGACGGCTGTATAATCATCATTGCCACCCCCACCCCACACAAAACTCCCTATTGTAAAATCTCCAAATGGGTCTTCTAAAGAGAAAAATAATGTTTTAACGTGTAAAAAATACTTCAAATTATTCTGATTTGGTAGTATGTCATGAGAAAGAGAGTCATGTTTCTCGGGTTGAGAAAGAACCACAGAGAGAGCTACTGTGTTGGAGGTGTCTAGGTTTTGACCTGTGGTCCCTACATGATGTTTTATATATGTGACGGTGCGTCCAATCAGCCACTTTCCCTAGGTTTCAGTCGGGAAAAATAGTATATATTTTTTAGGGTGGGAGTCATCTTAAAATAAATGTTGGTGGCTTTGTAGGCATTTGTTGGTTTCAGATGTTTCAGATGTGGCCTTAGGTTCAGATTGAGCTGTACAGTAAACTAGAGCTGGCAAAGAGTTAGGGATTAGGTTTAATCCCTAGATTATGTCAAAACCTTGTTTTGTAGATTAGGGTTTGGTAGAGCCAAAATAATCTACAATTAAATGATGTAAAGTAATTCAAAAATATATATATGGGTTAGCAAAACATAAAAATTGCCATGACGAATTCACACTGGACAAGAGTTAGCCCTAGATTCAATCAGACCAAGAGTTAATTTAGCTTGTAGATGAAGTTGTATTATTGTTCTTAAAAAAAAAAAATGTGTTCAAATGTATTTAGTTCTTCCAGTATTCTCTTTTTTTGTACAGTTGTTTTAAAATTTTTTCATATAATTTCTGTCAATTCCTTTGGATTCTGCATAAATTATTTTAATATTTTGTTAGCTCTGATTGTAAATATATTTAATTTCTCCAATAATTATTTTTTTTAATATAGAAAGACTATGAAGTATGGATATGTACAGAACATTTGGAACACCTTCCTAGTATTGAGTTGCACCCCCTTTTGTCCTCAGAACAGCCTCCATTTGTCGGAGCATGGACTCTACAAGGTGTTGAAAGCGTATCACAGAGATGTGTCAAGTTGTCTGGATGTCCTTTGGGTGGTGGACCATTCTTGATACACATGGGAAACTGTTGAGTGTGAAAAACCCAGCAGCGTTGCAGTTCTTGACACAAACCGGTGCGCCTGGTACCTGCTACCATACCCTGTTCAAAGACACTTAAATATTTTGTCTTTCCCATTCACCCTCTGAATGGCACACATACACAATCCATGTCTGAATTGTCTCAAGGCTTACAAATCATTATTTAACCTCTCTTCGCCTTCGTCTACACTGATTGAAGTGGATTTAACAAGTGACATCAATAAGGGATCATAGCTTTCACCTGGATTCACCTGGTCAGTCTATGTCATGGAAAGAGTGTTCCTAATGTTTTATACACTTAGTGTATATTAATACATTTTTGCATTAATAACAAGCATTTGTAAATGTGAGTTAGTATCATGTTATGGGCATGGTAAAAGGACAGCTATGGGGATAAATACCTGCCAAAATGATTGTGATTATAACAATATATTTGTTCTTGTGTTTTTGGCACATACAGTGCCTTCAGAAAGTATTCACACCCCTTGATTTATTCCACATTTTGTTGTGTTACAGCCTGAATTCAAAATCGATTAACAATTCTTTTTTCTCACCCACAATACCCCATAATGAAAACATGAAAACATGTTTTTAGAAATTTTTGCTAATTTATTGAGGAAAATAATGAACTACAGAAATATCTCATTTACATAAGTATTCACACCCCTTTGCCATCACTCTCCAAATTGAGCTCTTGTGCATCCAATTTCCTTCTATTGTCCTTTAGATGTCACTAAGTCCACCTGTGGCCAATTAAATTGTTTGGACATTATTTAGAAAGAAACACACCTGTCTATATAAGGTCCCACTGTTGACAGTGCATGTCAGAGCAGAAACTATACCATGAAGTCCAAGGAACTGTCCGTAGAGCTCCGAGATATGTATCTGGGGAACGGTATAAAACAATTTCTAGAATGTTTCAAGGTTTCCAAGAGAAAAGTGGTCTCCATCATTGGGAAATGTAAAATATGGAACTACCCAGACTCTGTCTAGATCTGGCCGTCCAACCAAACTGAGCAACCGGGCAAGAAGGACCTTGGTCAGGGAGGTGACCAAGAACCCAATGACCACTCTGACAGAACTACAGAGTTCCTTGGCTGAGATGGGAGAATCTGCCAGAAGGACAACAGTCTCTGCAGCACTTCCCCAATCTGGGCTTTATGGGAGAGTGGCCAGACGGAAGCCACTCCTGAGAAAAAGGCACATGACAGCATGCCTGTAGTTTGCAAAAAGGCATGTGAAAGACTCTGAGAGTATATAAGGCAAAATATTCTGTAGTCTGATGAGACAGAAATGTAACTGTTTGGCCTGAATTCAAAGCGCTATGTCTGGAGAAAACCAGGCACATCTCATCACCCGTCTAACACCACACATACCATGAAGCATGGTGGTGGCAGCTTCGTACTATGGGGATGCTTTTCAGCTGCAGGGACTAGGAGATTGGTAAGGATAGAGGGAACAATGAAAGGAGCCAAATACAGGCAAATCCGTGATCAGAATCTGCTTCAGAGTGCAAACGAGCTTAGACTGGGGGCAAAGGTTTACGTTCCAACAGGACAATGACCCCAAGCATACAGCCAAAGCAATGCTGGAATGGCTTCAGAACAAGAAGGTGAATGTCCTTGAGTGGCCCAGCCAAAGCCAATAGTTGAATTCCATTTGAAAATCTGTGGAAAGACTTGAAGATTGCTGTTCACCACTACTCCCCATCTAACTAAACAGAGCTTAAGAAATATCTGCAAGGAAGAATGGGAGAAAATCCCCAAATCCAGATGTGCAAAGCTGATAAGGACATACCAAGACGAATCAAAGCTGTAATCGCCGCCAAAAGTGCTTCTACAACAGGGATCATGAACTAGATTCAGCAGCAGGACCAATTTTTCCTTGAGGGGATGGTCAGGGGGCCAGAACATAATTACAAATAATTTGTAGACTGCAAATTGACTGCAAGAAGCCCAAACAGATATAATATTTGACTAAAACATAATAATTTTAAACCTTGCTTACAGTTGTATATGATCACATATACAGTGAGCTCCAAAAGTATTGGGATAGTGACTCAT